CCGCGCCCCCCCGGGGCAGCGGAACGGGGTCATGCCCTCGGTGATGGAGAAACCCGGGGCGGGTTCGGGGATCCTGTCCCGCAGCCGGGCCAAGACGGCTCCCAACGGTGGACAGCCGCACTCGGAGGATGACAGCAGCGAGGAGGAGCACTCGCATGGTGAGCCTGGCGCGGCCTGGGGCGGGGGGCGGTGCAGAGGGGCAGGATGCGGGGAGAAGAGGTACACAGACCTGGGGTCTGTCATGACGCTGCCTTTCCCTCCCCTTCTGGATGGGAGCGTCTGCCTCGCTCCTCTCCGCAGCCCAGGGCTGCCAGCACAGGAATCTGGCCTTTGGCTGAGGAAGTTTAGGGGTGCCACCTTTCCACAATGAGGTCCCTCCTGCACCTTGCCACCTTGTAGGAGACAATCTGGCTGGGGCTGGGGCTGGAAAGACACCTCCACACCAAGCTTGTGAGGACTCCCGGGGAGGGGGGGGGCTGGGGGGGGGCTGCCGTCCAGGGCTTGGGGATGCCCTCCAGGCCCCACTCCCTGCCAGAACAAAGCACTCTGCTTTGACCTGAGTTGTAAAACTGCCCTCTTGCCCCCCCTCCCCCTTTTTAGGTCCATGTGTAGGTGGGGGGTTCACTTCTTGTCCCTTCTGTAGCTGGGGAAAGAGCCTCCTAGAAGGTGAGGGCCTTGGGTGGTCAGGAAGGAGAAGTCCAGGCCAGCCACCTCCCCCACCACATCCTTCCACCCCCCCTTCCCTCCCTCGAGTCCTGATTCCCTCCCCCTGCCTCCACAGACAGCATGATCCGCGTTGGAACCAATTACCAGGCGGTAATTCCGGAGTGCAAGCCTGGTGAGTGGCAGGACAGGCGGTGAAGGGGAGGGGGAGGAGGAGGCCGTGGACGGTGGCTTGGCCTGCAGCCCCACCTGGGGAGCCCTTGGCTGGCTCCTGTGGGCGGGTGGGTGGGGGTGAGTGGCCCAGTAGCATGGTTGGTTTTCCTTCACTGCCTTCCTGTCTGGGTCTCTGCTCCTCCTTCCTCCTGGGCCTCACCTCCCAGGCCCGGCTCCTTTGCTGTCTGGGAGCCAGCATCATCAAGCTGATCTGAGTTATTCTCTCCTGCTTCTGTGTCTTTTAGAGAGCCCGGCCCGCTATAGCAACAAGGAGCTGAAGGGGATGCTGGTGTGGTCACCCAACCACTGTGTGTCTGATGCCAAGCGTGAGTGGGGCTGGCGTATGGTTAGGCTGAGCTCTGGGGGATGGGGACTCAGGTTCATCTCCTGAGGTCCCCCCACCCCAGTCTTGGGGCTTGAACTCAGGGCCTGGACACTATCCCCGAGCTGCTGCTGCTTTTTTTTGTCGGTTGTGGGGCCTGAACTCTGGGCCTGGGCGCTGTCTCCCAGCTCTTCAGCTGTAGACCAGCGCTCTGCCACTTGAGCCTCAGCCCCACTTCCGGCTTTTTCTACTTATGTGGTGCTGAGGAATTGAACCCAGGGCCTCATGCATGCAAGGCAAGTGCTCTACCACTGAGCCACCTTCCCAGCCCCTCCCTGAGCTGCTTTTGCTCAAGGCTAGCACTCTACCATTTGAGCCACAGCACCACTTCTGGCTCTTTATGTGGTACTGAGGAATCAAACCCAGGGTTTCATGCATGCTAACTAAGCAGGCACTCTACCACTAAGCCACATTCCCAGCCTCATGAGGCCTTCTTAAATTCAGAAAGCTGGAAGCCAGCTCTGTGGCCCCAACTACTCTCCAGGTTGAGGCCGATAGTTTGCTTGAGTCTGGGAGCTTCTAGACCAGCCTGGGCAACAGCTCAAGTTCAGCTCTGCCTGTGGGATGTCGGCCTAGGGGCCTTGCCCTTTGCACCTGGGTTAGTGGCTGTAACCTTTTTAGCCAAGACCCTGTTCCTCTTCCTTGCAGTTGACAAATACATTGCGATGGCCAAGGAGAAGCATGGCTACAACATTGAGCAGGTAAGCCGGGGTCCTGAGGAACTGAGGGGTAGGAAAGGGACTATGCAGGGGTGGCCAAGCCTGAGTCGCCTCTTGTCCTGGGCCAGGCCCTGGGCATGCTCCTGTGGCATAAGCATGATGTGGAGAAGTCACTGGCTGATCTGGCCAACTTCACTCCGTTCCCGGACGAGTGGACCGTGGAGGACAAGGTGCTGTTTGAACAGGCTTTCGGCTTCCATGGCAAGTGTTTCCAGCGGATCCAGCAGATGGTAAACTTCTCCCTGGCCCCTCTGGTGCTTCTCAACCCTCCACCCCAGCCAGCTTATGTGGGGCTGAGTCTCAGGTGGGCCCCCACCTCTGGCCTTGCCTCTCTAGCTACCTGACAAGCTGATTCCCAGCCTGGTGAAGTATTACTACTCTTGGAAGAAGACTCGAAGCCGAACTAGCGTGATGGACAGACAAGCACGGCGGCTTGGTGGCCGCAAGGAAAAAGAGGACAGGTCGGGGGGGTGGGTCTGGGTCTGCTGGGGATGGGGAGGGTGGTATTTCTGGCCCCTGCCTCATACCCTCCTTGGCCACTGTGTCAACAGTGATGAACCTGAAGAGGGACGAGGAGCTGTGAGTGAAGGAGAGCCTGATATGGGGGATCCTAAGAGAGAGGTGAGGCTGCAGGCTGCTCTGCCCTCTCCAGGCCCTTACTCCTCTGCCTCTCTCTGTGCTACCTACCACCTCCTCTCCTTTTTCTGCAGCCTCTGCCTTCTCGACCTCTGAATGCCCGTCCTGGCCCTGGGAAGAAGGAGGTCCAGGCATCACAGTATCGCCACCACCCATTACGAACCCGCCGACGCCCACCCAAGGGCATGTACCTGAGCCCTGAGGGCCTCACTGCAGTGTCGGGGAGCCCAGACCTCGCCAACCTCACACTTCGAGGTCTTGACTCACAGCTCATCTCCCTCAAGCGCCAGGTGGGGGCCCAAGAAAAGGGGGAGGGGGAAATCAGCTGGTAGGAACTGGTTTGGGACCACCTGAGGTATAAGGGGAGGTGGTACCTAACTCAGTCCCATTGTCTGGGCTTTCTGAAGAAAGCTGTCTGCAGACAGGAGAGCCATGCTGCGCAGCATGTGCTGCCAGCTGGCTGTGAAGGAGGAGTGTACTGGATTGTGGGGGCAGAGAGCTTTGTTGGGGAAAGTGGCTCTCGTATCTATTAAGTAGGACCCTGGGAGAGGTGGGGCATGGCGGCCTCCTTGGGATGGCAAGTTTGATATCCCTCCCTCCTGGCCTTCCTAGGTGCAGAGCATAAAGCAGACTAATAGCAGCCTCCGCCAAGCCCTAGAGGGTGGCATTGACCCCCTCCGCCCCCCCGAGGTAAGACTGTTCTGCAAGTTTGGGTGCAGAAGGGGGCTTTCTGGAGGTGGAACAAAAAGTCTGCTTTGTAAGTGGGTGCTTGAATGCAGGATCTCATGCTTTCATGGCTGGCACTCTACCACCTGAGTTGTGTCTCCAGGTTGGCATTTTGCCAGTTAATTGGAGAGAGAATCCTGCAGATTTTTCTGCCCAGGCTGACCTCAAACCACAACCTTCTAGGTCTTAGTCTCCTGATTAGCAAGGATTACAGGCATGAGCCACTAGCTAGGTTCCTTTTTTTTTTTTTTTGCCAGTTGTGGGGCTTGAACTCAGAGCCTGGGCACTCTCCTGAGCTTTTTTTTTTTTTTTTTGGGGGGGGGTCTGTTTATGGGGCCTGAACTCTGGGCCTGGGCGCTGTCCCTCAGCACTTCAGCTCAAGGCTAGCGCTCTACCACTTGAGCCACAGCACCACTTCCGGCTTTTTTCTGTTTGCTTATGTGGTGCTGAGGAATCGAACCCAGGGCCTCAGGCATGCAAGGCAAGTGCTCTACCACTGAGCCACCTTCCGAGCACCTAGCTCCATATTTTTGAGACTAAAGATAATTTATGTTGTTTGCTTGCTCCAGGCCAATATCAAGTTCAACTCCCGCTGGACTACAGATGAGCAACTTTTGGCTGTACAAGGTGGGTGCTGCAGGGGAGAACCAAGGACGCCAAGGAGTTGAGGGTAGAGGGAAGGGTCAGAGAACTAATTATTAGCAAAGGGGCATTTACACTTCACCGCCCTTTGATCTCTGCAGCTATCCGCAGATATGGCAAAGACTTCGGGGCTATTGCCGAGGTGATTGGAAACAAGACTCTGACCCAGGTGAAGACCTTCTTTGTGAGCTACCGCCGACGGTTCAACCTGGAGGAGGTGCTGCAGGAATGGGAGGCTGAGCAGGATGGGGCACCTGCAACTCCCGCCCCCATGGAGGAGGCTAGGCGAGGGGTGCCAGTGCCTGCTCCAGCCCCAGAAGAAGATGATGAGGTGAGGGAAAGGGAGGGTGGAGGAGGGAAAGGGTGTTGGCTGGAGGCGGCTGAGAATGTGCAAGAGCAGCTTTCTTACTCTTCTTTCCCTCAGGTCCAGATCACATCTGTCTCCACATCTGCGCCTCGATCTGTACCCCCTGCGCCACCACCCCCTCCACCACCCACCTCACTGTCTCAGCCACCCCCATTGCTGAGGCCACCTCTGCCCACGGCTCCTACCCTGCTCCGCCAGCCACCCCCACTGCAGCAGGGCCGATTCCTGCAGCCCCGGTTGGCCCCCAACCAGCCCCCACCTCCTCTCATCCGCCCAGCCCTGGCCGCCTCTCGCCACACTGCCCGCCCTGGCGCTCAGCCCCCACCCACCCTGATCGGAGCATCTCTGGAGCCTCCGGCACCCTCACTTTGAGTCCTGGTCTTCTAAACCCTGCCCCCCCTTTTGCTGGACACCACTGAGGACACAAGGGATTAGGGCTCTTGCTAGATCTTTTGAAGCACTAGAGCTACCGGGTGGAATAGCTGGGACCTGTGTCCTGGCAGCTAAACCAGTCAAAACCGGGCTAGGGGCTGGGACTCGGGGCCCTTTGGAGCTGGCCCAAGGGTACTCCGCTTCCTGGGCTTCTTGGCTGGGACCGGAATAGCTGCCTGCCTCCCTGCAGGGGCCTTGGCCTTTGGGCCTGCCTTTTGTGGGTACGGGGTAGTGACCTTAGCGTGGGGGGTCTCGTGGAAAAGATAGTTTGGGGTGTTTGCCGACCTCATTCACCTTGCCCTTCTTTCAGCAATAAGTCTGGGGTGAGGCGGGACGGGCTGAGGGAAGGTGGGCAAAGGCCCCTTGCAGCCTCCCGGCAGCCAAGGCTGGATGGGGAGCTGTGTTCAAGACCAGATGGCAATGCTAAGCAGCATGAATTAGGTGCCCACTTTGCCCCCCTCCCCCAAAATTGGTGGGTTGGGAACTTATGCAGACATGGGTTTATTTTTCAACATTTTTTAAGAAGAAATAAATACAACCTGCTAAACTGGCTAAGTCTGTCCTTCTGTGCCCAGAGGGAGCCCTGTCCACCCGGCACTGGCTCATCCTGCCCCAGACAGGAATCGCTTCTCCCTGACAAGGTAGGCTGGGTCACATTGTGCCCAACAGGGACTGGGTCTCTAGCCAGCTGGGAGAAGAGACAGGAGGAGGCAGCTCAGGTTCCAAACATTCTCTTTATTACGTGTTTGATCCAGAGGAGAAACTAAGTGCAGGGTGGGGGGAGGGGCTAGGTGGGGAGAGACCACCTTGCCTGGGTGCCCCGGCCCCTACCCCCTTTGGGGCCCAAGCCATGCCCTCCCAGCCCCCTTGGAGCACCCGGGCTGTTCCGCAGGGTGGGAGGGGGAGCCCTTGGTCTGAGCCGGAGCCAGTGGGAGCACAGGGCTGGAGGGCTGAGGTTGGCGAGGCCCCTTCCTGGGACCCAAGGGCTTGACGTGGCTGAGCCTGGCCTGGAAGCAGGGGTGATAGGGGCGGAGTCATCATTAATCAGAAAAAAAATAAAAATAAAATAATAAAAAATAAAACCCATCACAAAAAAAAATGTACAACTCAAGTGAGGGCAGGGGCGGCCTCTGTGGGACCCCCCCAATTTCTCAAGAACTGAAACAGCAGAGAAATAAATTAAGGGATGCAGTGGCCACCACCAGCCAAGCGCCCACAGCCACCCACTCCCACACTGGCCGAGGTTAGCAGGCGGGAGTCACTTCACCCATCTGTCGGGACAGATGCTCCCGGCCCTGCCGCCCAATCCAGCCTTCCGCCAGGCGGCCCCGTGGAGGCCCTGGGCAGTCTCCTGAGAGGAGGGGCGACAGTGTCAGGAAGAAAAGGCAAGGCCGAGAGATGAGAATGGTGCAGGAAGTCTGCTACAGACCGAACTGGTGCCCAGATTAATGCCAATGAAGGGGAGGGGAGTGGGGGGGGGCGGGGGATGGGCGAGGGGCTGTGCTTTCAGACAAAGGCTCTCCCAGAATGGAGGAGCCGCCATCCCAGTTCGGGGACTGGCAGCGCAGGCGGCCCCCTGGGGGCTGAGGAGCCTCTGCACTGCGCTGCCTGCCTCTCCCCTCTCCCAGCTCTGGGGTCAGCCCCACCTTCTACGGAGGGGTGGGTGGGAGAAGATGGCACAGACTTGAGGAGGGGAGCAAACGTCCCCACAGCAGCTCGTGGAAGGAAATGCCGGGCTCTGGGAAAGGTGGGGCGGAGGATACAGTGTGGGGAGGCCAGGGCCCCCACCGCGCCCCACCCTCGCCAGCCCCAGCGCCCAGGCCTGCGGCCCAGGGGCCTGAGGGCAGGGGAAGGCCACCTCTGGTGGGTTGATAGGAGGGGAAGGAGGGGAGGAGAGGGGAGAAGCCCAAAGTGGGCCTGGCGGAGGGCCTGCCAGGGAACTCCACCACTCTTGCCTGAGAGTGTTCCAGCCCTGAACCACCCTCCCGGGAAACCCCACAGATCCAGTCTCGACTGTCCCAATGGGGCAGGGAGGAAAGGTGGCCGCTGGGATTTTTTTTTTCTTTTTTCTTTTTGGTAATAAAAAATTTCTTGGTTTAGGCGAAATACTCTGTGCAACCGCAGTACCTGGGGGGAGCCCTGCCCCCACTGCCCCTCCCCTTCCTTTGCCTCCTGAAGGGAGAGAGGTGAAGGGGGGATGGGGGCAGGGGTCACTGTGTGAGGAGGGGAGTGCCCTCTCCCAACCCTCACAAACATGGAAGAAAAAAACCAAACAAACCGGAGACGGGCCTGGGAGGGGACAAGCGCCAGCAGGGGAGACATCCACCCATCCTGCAGTCTCACCCCGGTGGAGTGCAGGCTCGGCCCCAGCAGCCAGGTCTGCTGGCGCAGGCGGGTCTCTGCTGCCCCCCTCCTGGCAGCCTGTTAAAGCTTCAGCTCGTTGGCTATTTTGGAGGCAATGTTTTTGAAGGCCATGGAGGTGCCTGATATCCGCTTAAACCGAACACCATTGAGGGAGAGCCGCGGCAGTTTGCACACCTCCATCTCCCACTGCACGAAGTTCTCGTGGCCCGGCGTGCCGTGCATGCACAGCAGCATGTACTTCTCGTGCAGCTCGCTCTGGCAGCTGTTTGCGTCCAGCACCTTGCGGATCTCCCGCATCATCTCGTTGGGCTCCATGGAGCTTGTGGTCTTCATGCTCCACGTGAAACGGAGCGAGCGGGGCTTGGCCTCCCGGAACTCTTCCTTTTCTTTGTCATTGCCTCCACTGCCTACCACGTGAGGTCTGTGGAGGGCGAAGAGGTGTCAGGGAGAGGCTGAGGCACCCACCCACAGGAGAGCCACCCTGGCAGACAGACCCTGAAGCCAAAGACAGCAGGAGGGAACACAGAGCAGCGAGCTGGAAGAGGGAGCGGTTAGACCCGGGACTCGGGTGCAGGGGTTAGGGACCCTCATGGCTCAGGACGGAGGGGGTGAGGAGAGGCCAGCTGGGGTGGGGGGACAGGCAGGAAACGAGTGCACTCAGCAGCACGGTGTGCACAGACTTCCCCCAGGACGAAGCCAAGGCGAGGAGACAAGGTGGTCAGGCCAGGAACCTCAAGCCTCAACTGCCCAACCTGGGGCTCTGACTTCCGGAACACGTTAGGATCCAAGAAGGGCCTGGGAAAGGGGAATCCTCTGAGGAATGGGGAGCAGGGCCATCAGAGGAAGAGCCAAGTGGCAGGAAGAGGAGAGGAGCAGGAGGCTGTGGCAAGCCCGGTGGCCTGGGCAGGGCCAGTGCTGGCTCCGGCCCCCTCACCTGAGCGTCTCCACTCGGTCTTTGCTTTCAGGTTCATTCAGGTTCCTCAAAAAACAGAGCGAGGGAGAGTTTAGTGCTTGGATCTCTCGCTCCTTCCACCGCTGCAGACCCCGGTCGGGGAGGGGTCTGGGGAGGTGCCACCAGTGGGTGGGCGAGACCTCAGCCCAAAAGCCACTTACCCATCACCTGCAGGCCAACACAGCTCTGCAGCCCTCGCACTGGCAGCTCAAGCGTCCCTTTCCAACAGGGAATCCCACACGAGGCACGCCCCCCTAGTTCTGCCGGAGCCTCTGCAGGTGTGCGCGCGCACACGTATATGTGCAGATTGTGGACCCAGCACCAGTAGCAACCCAGTCAGAACCACAGCCGGGCTCCCATTCTATGGGATGGGGTAGGGGCTAGAAGCGGGTCCTTGGGGCCACTACACTGGATGTTAGGATGAAGTCCCCTGGAGGGAGGGACTGGGCCATTTGGAAGCCTCTTCTCCTAAGGCTCAAGGTGCCAAGGCCCAAACCTGCACAGCAGACCTTGTGGGGACTGGGATCTGGGCCAATCTGAAAAGGCCACTGTGCTTCTAACTTGCCCACAGCTGGCCTCCAGGCCGATTGCGAGCACAGGAGGAGACGGGGTTGGAGAGACACCGGGGTGGGGAACAGGTCTGGCCCTGCTGAGCGGCTTCTCCAGCTCCTGCCTGGGGGACGAGTGCCCGGAACTGGGAAACTGGAGACTACAGAGGAGGGGAGGGACGAGAAGGGAGAGAGCAGCAGCAGCACATGTAAAAGAACACGGACACATAGACACATGGATGCCAACAAGCACACTGCAAGCAGGCCCGTCTGTGCAAGGGATGAGCCTGGCTGCTCTCCCCAAGCCCTGCCAGCCATGCAGGGAGCCAGGGGAGTGGAGCAGGGCGCCGGGAGATCCATCTGGTCAGTCTCTTCCTCAGTTGGGGTACTGTGCTCCCAATCTAGCCCTTGGTCTGCACCTTGGTATTTGAGCCACCCCTGGCCTGCCAAGGTTACCAGCTGGGCTGACTCTGGGAGGAGCTGTGGGAGTGAGGGTGCAGGCCTGCCACGGTTGCACCAGGGGCTGGGGAGCAGCTCGGCCCCTTGGCTATCAGGCACAGGCCACATCTGGAGGAAATAGTCTGTCTAGTGGAGAGGTAGCAGGCCATGGCGAGGCTGCTGGAGGCGGGATGCTGGGGAGGGTGGGCACAGCCGGTTCTGCAGGAGCTGCCAGAAGGGGGTGCTGTGCCCCACTCATGAGGCAAAGAGCTCTCTGGGTTTACAGGATCAGACTTTAGCCTAGGAACCATGGCGTCCCTGAAGCACCTCCAGAGTTCTATCCTGTGTGCCCAGGGGAAGAGGCCACACAGCCCTGAAGCTCAGCCAGCCCAGGAGATCCCCGATGAGATGCCGTCCCAGACCCACTCGGACCCAGCGGAGCCTCCTCGGAGCACATGCGCATGACAGGGGGAAAGGGCCAGAGAAGGAACCCAATGCTTGGACCGAAACCTGGGTGGTGAGAGGAGACGATCTTAAAGGGAGAATCCCTGAGGTGTCTCTCCTCTTGCTTGAGGATAAATCTGCCAGTGGCTTAAGGAAGGCCCCCTCCCCAGGTTTGATGCCATTTGTCCTGAGGGGCCCCAAATGACCTCTTCAAGGGCCGTGTGTTCCAAGCCCTGCCAAGGTGAAGTGGGCAGGGAGGTGGGCGTGGGGCTGAGACCCAGCCAAAGCTATCTTCATCCCTTTAAGATGGCAGAGAGGAGGGCCACACAGACTAGGTCAGCAGATGGAAAAGGAGCAAGAGCCAGAACAGGGGAATTAGTGATGGAGGCAGGACACAGACACGGGACACACATACACACACACATACACACACATCGGGCTCAACGCCTACCTTCTGGCAAACCTGAAAGACAGATTTCTAAAAAAAACAAACAAAAAAAGACAAAATAAAAAAAGAAATAAAACAAAAAACAAAAACAAAACCAACAAGACGGTGTGTGGATAAGCAGGTGGGAACGGACTGTCCAAGGTTCAAGGGTGGCCCCAGTTTTGGAAGAGCCGCTCAGCGAGACAAGAGTGCTGGACCCGGGGTCTGCCCCCACCCGCTCAGCCTCCACGGCTGCGTCCCAGGGCTCGGTGGGCGGTGTCTGTGCAGCAGTGAGGAACACTGAGGAGGTCACACGGGCCTATTTCTGAAAGCTGCAGCTTCCTGAGCTGGGACTCCGAGTAGGTGTGCTGGGGAGGGACAGAGCCGCCTAGGGGCCGGCGGCTGCCCTCGGTAGTGGTTGTGGGGCTTAGACATGAGAAGCCCCTGGGACTGTAAGAGAGGCCACCATAGGCCTTCACTGGCTATTCCTTTTATGGGCTTCCACTCGCCCCCTCCCCGCCCCGGAGCCCTCAGGTAGAACATGGCTGCAGTCAGACATAACCAACTTGCTAGAGGAGGTCAAAGGGGGCAAGACAAGAGACTAAGAAAAATTTTCCTTATCGGCCCAGCCTGGCTCATGCCTCATGACTTTGCAGCTGCGTCACCAAATATGTTTCCATGGGAACCCAGGAGAGAAGAGGGGGGCTTTTATTTTAGCATCTGAGTTCACACTCCCCTAGAGAGGAGGCGGTATCGCCCATCTGCTTGGGGCCAGAGAATGAGGTGACTGTGGGGAGTTTGGGAGAGGCCTAAGAGGAGGTCTGGGCATGTAAGGTATCGACAACAACTCAATTTCTTAGCCTTCCTGAAGCCCAGAACCCAATCTTAGTTTCCACCCTCGCCCCCAGGCAAGCAAAAAGTCTGGCCCCACACTCTGTCTCATTCAGCTCTCTGCTCACCTGCGGACAAATTTGGAGGTGAACTTGCTGAAGATGCTCCCGGAGGCCCCCCGCCGGCCCTGGCTATGGCCAGAGGGAGAGGCTGGGGTCACGCCGTAGGGCAAATTCTGTTGGTCCCGCACCTGTCGGAGCTGCCCAGCGTGGAAGGTGCTTCGACTGGACACACCCCGGGGAAAATTAGTTCGATCTGGGGCTCCACCACTGCTGCTGATGTTGTGGGCGGAGGGGGAGGCGACAGGGACACGCTGGGGGGCTGTGCTGTGGGAAAAGAGGTGGGGGCGAGGGAACGTGTCAGGTGCAGGGAACAGCACCACGGAGCACCTGGAACGCCCTGTGGTGGGGACAGGGAGGGGGACGCTGGGGCAGAGGCAGCCATCACAGAGGACACAGAAGGAAGGAGTGACCACTGGGGACAGCAGTGAGGAGTCTTGTGGAGGTGGAGATGGTCTAGGAGGGAAGGAGGGAGGGAAGGAGACAAGGAAGGACCCAGGGGTGAGAGCAGCACAGGCTGGCAAGAGCTGGGCCAGGCCCCTCCAGCGCGGTGGGGAGGAGCTCTAAGGACTGAGGGCCCCTAAGGAAATCCAGGAAGGTTCCGAACAAAAAGACTTCCTTTCGGAGCTTCAGGACAGCTTCCTGCATACCTGTTCTGAGAGGGAGAATTGGAGGAAAAGAGGGGCATTAATGCTGTTTTTATGCCCTTCACTTTCTAACTACAGGGAACAGAGCTACTCCTTGTGGCGAACGCAAGACTGGAGCAGGCCCCCGGGGTGGGCAGAGCCTGCAGGGGCAGGGGTGGGGGCAGGCTGAGGGCAGCAGGTGTGCCAGCTGCCCCAGCACACTTGCCTGGGCCGCGGCACCTCACAGTTACTCTCCGTGGGGGGCAGCCCAGAGGCCTTGTTGGGGTGCACGGAGGCCGACATGGATTTCTGGTGCTGGCGGGGCCGGGCCGCAGAAACTGCGGCAGAAGCAGAAGCCGTGGAGGCCCGGGACCCTGGCATGGTTAGGCTAGGAGACAAAAGCAGCGGAGAGGCCCAGGTTAGGGGGTAGAAGAGGCAGGAGCCTGGATTAGGAAGCAAGAGCAGGGCCAAGGCCGGAGCTGGAAGCACCAACAGGACCAGCTCAGGCCCAGGGAGCAAGTCAGGCTGAGGCCAGATGGAGGGGGTGAGGGCAGGGTGTGGAGCAGCCAGGTGAGCCGGAGCCCCGAACAGGAAACCACAAAGGGAGTAGGTCTACGGGAGCCCACCACCCTTGGGCCACACTGGGCTCCTAGGAATTTGAAGAACAAGGGCGTTTCTTCTACAGAAAGAGCAAGGAGTTGCTAAGGAAAAGCTTTCACGGGTGCGGAAGAGGTGGAGCCAGAAATGTGACACACCAAGAAAGACCACAATCAAGGCTAGGTAGGTGGGGCCCTTCTTGCGGGCACCACTGGAGCCCCTTGGTGTGGAGCCCCTCCGATGGGCAGCTCTAGGTTCACCCTGGGTAGGGGATCCCGGGAAGCTCAGGCCTGGCTGAGGTCCAAAGCAGAGAGCGTTGCGTGTCCATTGGAGCCCTCCCCCTGGCAAACAGTGAGGAGCAGTCAGGAGGACAGGGAGGGGGGATGGCATGGAGCAGGGAGGAGGGGTGGGGGGATGGCCAGACTCAACAGCCAGGACAGGACTCCAGGGAGCAGGACTAGAGCTGTGGCGGGACAGAAGACAGTGAGACCGACAGACAGCGCCGCCCCTGTGACAAGGAGCCCCCCTGAGCAGGGGAGGTGCCCAGCCACTCACCTGTCTTTTCCATTCTGGATGGAGGCCTGGCCGAGGCTGGCTCTCTCCAAGAGTGGAGAATTCCTGCTTCGGTTTGTGCTGGTGGAGAGGACGCTGTTCTGTGGAGATGAAGGGCAGGGGCTGTTGCACAGGGAGCTGTGTCCTCTGTGTCCTCTGACAGCCCTCCCTCCTCAGGCCAGCTTGGCCTTAGACGAGGCTCTTGCTCGGGGGCTAGGTTGGGACCATGGCTCACCGTGGAGGGGGTGGGAGTGGTCTTTTTCCTCTCCAGGCCTGGCAGAGGGCTGGCAGGCACTTTGGCAGTGCTGCTGGCCTTCCGCCCTGACTCCCGGTCCTCCTCAGGCCGCTTATTTTCTGCGTTGTTACTCTGAGTCTTCTTAGAGTAGGAATTAGAGGTGGGAATGGCAGGGCCAGCTGTGGGGCCAGAGGAGGGAATGAGTGGGGCTGGGAGCCTGCGGAGGACCCACGACACGCTCGCGCTCTCCTACCACCAAAGCCTTGGTTCACCATGGTGGTAGCAAGTTGGTGACTTGTTCATGGCCGTGCTATTAAGAAGTGGCTGAACCAGGACTGAAACTCAGTTGTCACCCAAAGCCCCTTGAGCTTGGGAGGGTGGCTCTGGAGAGAGGTGGCCCCAACTTGGGTCCACGAAGCACATACCCTGGTCGCTGAAGCGCCGCTGCTTGGGGTTGGCAGAGACGCTGCGCTGTACCTTGTGGGACGGGGATGGGGCACTGCTGTTGGTCAGATCGGCTGAAGGTCGGGGCTTTAAGGTGACAGTGTCACCTTCCAGCTGCAAGAACAGAACACAGGGCATCAAGGGAAAGCAGGAGTCAGGCAGAGATCCCGCTAGTGGACATGGCGGCATAGACTGCTAGGGCAGTACCGATGCACTGACACACAGACAGGCTACACTCAAACAAAACATTATACACCTCATCTCATCTAGACACACACTCAAACATGTTTCCACATTCACCTGGGGACAAACCAGCAAAGATGCTCTAAACTCAGAGTCACAAACACCCACCAGAACACACACAATCAGAATTAAGAGACCTACTACCCTACTCCATCCCCACAAGAAATCTGGACCTATGCCAATTACCACTAGACGCCTCTTAAATAGACTAAAGTGATAACCCGGTGGACCCTGCTGCCTTGACCCAGGGGGATCGGGGAAGGATGTGAATGTATATGGGTACTCAAATGATGACCCAAACCCAACCAGAGAGCCTCAGACCCACAGCCAGGCCAGATACACATACACGGAAACATCCAGACAAAAACACTAGGAAGAAGCTGCTGTATCAGCACAGAGCAAAGCTTCCAAGACAGACACAGATACAGACCTCTAGACACAGATACCAAGACAACTAAACCTACATATAACACAAGCCAGATGACCTTGGCTTGTTCTAATGGGCACAGAGCTAGCTAGCTCACCTCACCCCCATGGAGCCTGGCCTCAGGCTCAGGCTCCCCTCCTCCCCGCCACCTTTCTTACTTCTTCACTGAGGAAGACCAGCAAAAGGCCTCAGACATCAAGGCCAAGGCTTCACTCTGGTCAGCAGAGGTGAGACCTACTTGGAAATGCGCTTCTGTCCACAGCTGGCACTAACGGCTGGGTGCTATCTACAGTGACGGTGGCCAGGCGAGCACATGGGGATAGGGAGCACGCACCTCGGAGCTCTTGTAGCCCAGGAGCAGATAGGTGGCCATCACCTCGTTGTACCTCTGGCCCACCAGGGAGTCCTGGATCTCTTCCCGTGTGTAACCCATAGACACCATTAACTCTGAGGGAGGGGAAGAGGAAACAACACAGTTTCAGCTGGACTTACATCTTGGATAGGCTCAAGCTTCCAGCCAGCACAGCCTTACCTGTCCGCCGAGGATCTTTGTAGTCAGGAAGTGGCTCCACATAAGGCTTCAGTTCATCATCTTCATGCCCCACATTCATCCACCGATCTTTCATGATTTGCTGGGGATCAAGGGAAGGGAAAATAAAAGGGCAGAGTGAGAGGAAACTCAGCTTGCAGTTCTCATGGAGATTCCAGGACCTCTGGCTATCTGGGCTTCAGGCAGCTCACCTCTAAAGTGCCTCTCTTGCTGGGATTAAGAATGAGAAATTTCTTAAGCAGGTTTTCACAGTCCGTGGACATGTAGAATGGGATCCGATATTTTCCCCTTAGAACTCGCTCCCGTAGCTCCTATGGTTAGAAAGTTTAAATCACCCCAAGGATGATATCCACGCTCCTGAGAGGTAAAGACTGGCTAAGAAGACAGAAATGAAGCCCAGTGGAAAGAAGAAAGCCTGTTAAAGCAACTCACTAGAAGGGAAGGGAAATCATACACCTTGTACTGTCACTTGACCAGCCAGGGGCCCTGCGGAGGCCAGAGGGCCAGGGATGAACACGTACACAATTGTGTGAATGTGTGTGCGTGTGTGTGCTGGTACTGGGCTTGAATCTATAGCCTCATACTCTCACTCTGCATTGTCGCTCATGGCTGGTGCTCTACAACTTAGGCCATGTCCTCAGTTCTGGCTCTGGGTTGGTTTAATAGAGCTAAGAATTTTGAGGATTTGTCTGCCCAGGATGATTCCAAATTTGATCCTCAGATATCAGCCTTCTCTGTAGCAAGGATTATTGATAAGGACCAGTGCCTGGCTCTCTCACATACAATTTATCCTATCTTTTCATATAGGAATTGAGAAGTGAGGTATTAATTCCTACATGTGGAAGGCCAAGGCTAGTTTCCAGCCTGCTCATCCTGCCTCAGCATTTCAAGTGCTGGGATTCTAGGTATGCATCATCACATTAGGCAGGGCTGCTCCAGCAGGCCCTTCTCTGAAGGGCTTAAGAAAAATGTAGACAGGATAGACCTAAGACCAGAGGAAGAGCAGAAATGGAAAAGTAGCAAAATAATCTAAGCCTGCAGTTCACTCCACCTTGAGGTTCTGTCCATCAAAAGGCAGGGATCCGCTGACCAGTGTATAGAGGATGACTCCCAGGCTCCACACATCTACCTCGGGGCCATCATACTTTTTGCCCTGGAAGAGTTCTGGGGCAGCATAAGGGGGACTACCACAGAAGGTATCCAGCTTGTTCCCAAAAGTGAACTCATTGCTAAAGCCAAAGTCTGCAATCTTGATGTTCATATCAGCATCCAAGAGAAGGTTTTCTGCCTGGGAGACAAGATGGAAAATATCAGGGCCTCAAGGGGACCACACTCATAGGTACGGGCAGGCAGGCAGGCAGGCAGGAGCTGGCGGGGATGGGAGAACTAATGGTAAGCCATTGTGAGTCTCAGAACTTTGCTCCACTCCGGGCCAGGTTTTCAATCAGCATGAACAAGTGGAGCCAGAGGCATGCAGGCCACCCCTCAGACAGGAGGCACAGGAAAGCTGAGATTTGCAGGTCTACAGACCCTGGGAGCTGTGCAGAGCTATAGGGTCAGGCCCCGGTTTTACAGTCATGTCTTTGAGGACTTAGTGGCTGGGAGACTCATAGGTAATCTCTAATGCAAGTACCTTGGTTACAGAGATGGGGTGTTCCCTGTGCCTTCAAAGCAGCTGCGACGCAGCTGAGGCACACTCAAATTGTTTCTTTGGCTGGCCATTAGGCCACCCGAAGGACCAGGACCAGGAAATGGTGGAGTGCTCATGCCACGCCCAGCGTTATAGAAAGGCAGAGCCCTGTGGTGGGGCTGGGGCTGGGCATAAGGCCTCTATCAGAAGCATTCCTAGGGGTCCCTGGTCATCTTGAAAAGGCCAAAGGCTAGAGTTACCTAAATTTAGGGCTCCATCAAGGAGGCCGAGGAGAGAGCACTCAGTCTCATCCAAGGCACACCCAAGGCACAGGAGGTAAGAACATGCCTCACCTTTAGGTCTCTATGAACGATAAACTTCTGGTGACAGTACTGTACAGCAGACACTATCTGAAAGGAAGGAAGAAGGGTTAGTGCTGGGACACTTGAGGGGAGGACATATGGGCTGGAGCTGTGTGACCCATGACCTGGTTCTAAGTTAACCACAGAAAAGCAGATCTCCAAATACCCTCCCTAAGGCTACTTGCTTAGGAAGCTCCGCCTGGAGCCACGGGAGATGGGCATACCCACCTGACGGAATTTGGCTCGAGCCTCTTTTTCTTTCATCCGGCCATGAGCTACTAGGTAATCAAATACCTCTCCTGCAAGAGATGGTTGGAGCGCAGTGAGAGCTGGCTGGGGCTAGGAGAGGCGAGATGCAACAGGAAGAGGCAGGTCTACACCTACCTCCACTGGCATACTCCATGACAAGGTAGAGTGTCTTCTCAGTCTCGATGACTTCAAATAACTTAACTGAAAAAGAGAAAAGGCCTAACTTAAGACTCCAGACAGGAACAAGGTCACTTGTGTCACCCAGTGTTATCAGGAGGTAGGTAGACTAGGGAGATGTGGTCCCATTTTTACTACCTCCTCTCTCCAGGACAAGCTCCTCTTGTACAAGCCAAACTAAGATAGTATGGGTAGAGCTGGACTTTAAGCTGGGCCTGTCCACGGTATCCTTGGCATCCTCCTTGACACAGACTCCAGAAGTCAAGGCCCCAGGAAAGAAGTAAATGGAGACTTGCTATGGGGGAGGAAAAAAAGGGGTAGCAACTGTTCTCACCTATGTTGGGATGATTCAAAACCTTCATAATTCTCACTTCACGGAAGAGCTGCGAAAGAAAACATACAGGGTCAGGCTTGTTCAACATGGTCCCACTGTTAGGTCCTTTCAAACCAAACCCCTGCTGGGACATTTGCCCCAAAAAACAAAAAGATAGGAAAACCAAAACCAGGTAGGGAGGAGAGAGGCAGTGGGCCAGCTCACCATCGCCCTCTCATGGCTGGGAGGGAGGGAAGGGAGGAGAGTGGAAAGGGTTGCTGGAGTAGATCTGGCTCTGTTGACTTGCTATCCAGGCTGCCAGCCGTGCCCTTCTCTACACCATCCAAATCTAGCCTCAAAACAGCAGTGGGGAAAGGGAGCTACCTATCTGTGAATATTCTGTGCCCACGCTCCTTCCCCAGGGCAGTGACCAAACATGCTCCAGCTGGCTTGGGACAGGATGGGCGCACATTGCTTTCTGACCCATAGAAGTTAGAGGGCCTGCGCTAGGGTAGGGCTCTTTTCTCCTGGGCTTCGAGGTGGTGACAGAAGAAGCCACTCCTATATATAGCTGATGCCAATTTTAATCAAATCCACCTCCACACACTCACGCTCTCTTTGTGAAACAAAATCAGGGGCTGCAAACCATACATTTCCATAAAGAAAGATGACAGAAATGAACTCCTTCCCCCTTGCGGGGGCCAGAAAACTGAAGGTGAGGGTTTTTAACTTACAGGCCTCACCACATGCACAAAGAGCAGTTTGGGGGAAAGGGTAGGAGGGAGAGTAAGGGAAGGGGGCGTCTAATCAGGGCACACTGGACACATCTATGACATGTCAAAATATAGCCTCCCTTGTACAACTAATTTATGCTAATAAAATGCTAACAAAAATCCAACAGAACAGAACTGGGTATTTGGTCTTATTTATTTTGTTTTATAATTATTTATTTATTTATTTTTATGGTAGGAGAGGAGGGATTTTCTCGAGATCGAATCCAAAATACAAGATATAAAGTGAATGTCCCCAAACTTTCGATGATATACAAGAGTTTTTATGAATTGGAAAAGAAAAATAACTAGCTTTCCATCTATTGACCCAATTTGGACGTTAGCTCCTTTTCTTAGGATCTAGGTTTTTGGTGCCTCATTTCTTGGCTCAATAGTTACTTTGACTGAAGAAGCAATATTTCCAGGCTTCTAGCTCAGGAAGAGTAATGGGGAACAGCACTAAAATCAGGCCAGAGTCAGGGATCAAGGTTCTGCCAAGTGGGCACCACTTGGTCTAGAAGAGCATTCCAAAGGGCCTAGAGCTTCCCAGGCTTGCCTAGAACCCTAAAGGACCAGAGTCATCAACGCTTGTTCTTTATGAACCATTGTAGGGTCAATGTAAACTGAGATTGGCCAGTCAGACTGGTTCTGCTAATAAGTTTGTTTAGAGGTTTAAAATGGCTGTATGTCTGGTATAGGTATAGCTTAGTCAGAGAACAGAAGAGAGAAATCAGAGGGAGGAAATAGGAACAAGATGGCTTGGTTGACCCTGGTGATGAACATAATGACAGGCTATAATATACCAAGAACTAATGGCCTGCCCCATGTTGGCTTCACTTTGCCAGATGGGAGCCTTTGTCCCTTCCTGGAAATTCCTAGCATGAAAGCCTTTATGGCGGTAGCAATGGTTCCTTGGAAGTAGACCCCTGCGGGAACACGGTGGCTCTAGCTGTCAGCACGTCAGGGGAATTCACTCCATGTGCGCTAACCTGGGGGCACCTCCTCCCTTTTTTTTCTTCTTTCTGGGATGGGGGCTTGAACTCAGAGCTTCAGGCCTTGAGCTTGCATGGCTTGCTTGGCCAGACACTTAACTCATGCCTCCAGCCTGGCTTTTTGCTGGTTAATTGGAAATGTAATCTTGTGAATTTTTTTTTGTCAAGGTGATGTACGGAGGGATTACAGTTATATAAGCAAGGTAGTGAGTACATTCCTTGTCAAACTTGTTACCCCTTCCCTCATTTTTCTCCCACGTTCCCTCCCCCCAACCGCCTCTTCATCTTATGGACTTTTTTGTCCTGGCTGGCTCTGAACCACAATCTTCCAGGTTTTCACCTTCTAAGGCATGAGGATTACAGGATTACAGGCATGAGCCACCCATGCCCAAGCTTCTCTTCTTTTTTGTTCCTATCACTCTGTTAATAGTTCCTGCCTGAGGGTTCAACCTCACCTAGCAGAAACCACATGCAAATGATTTTGTGATATCTAGCCAAATGAGCCCAGAAATGAGAAGGAATGAGAAGGAAAAGTGGGATTATTTATCCTTAATCTAAACACTTTGTTAGAGACTTAGAACTGGAGTTCAGCTTCTAAAAACCGCAGTCCTCCATACTTGTTCTCCAAGATGGAGCTGGCATAAAATCCAGTGGCAAGTTCCCTTGCTCCTCATCCCTGTACCTGTAGAACTAGTCCCCTGATCACTGCACATCTTGGAGTAGTTGCCAGTGTTTCTAGTAATGCTAAGAACATGGTTTCTGCACAGGGCTGGCCACAGGCCAGATGATAACAAGATACAGGAAGTAGGTCAGACAGGTAGGCCAAGTGGCTGGGAAGGGGGCAGGAACTTCAGAAGAGTGGTGCCTATGGCGAGGAGGCCCACCCAGGTGGAGGGGACCCCAACTAAAGCCCTGGAGGGAGCAGAGCACAGAGTAGGAGTGGTAGAACCATGCACTGGTCAGAGGTTTTAGGGTCAGGTTTAGAGTCAGTATATTACTGAGCTGGGGGAGGATTGGAAAGGGACAAGAGTACAGGACACTTACTTTCTGAAGGCTGGAGGAGTTCAGTTGAGTCTTGTCAATAATCTTCACAGCTACCTGAACATAAGACAAAAATCCCAAGATCACAATCTATGACTGAGCTAAATTGAGGATCTGACTCCATTTCATGCTTTTCACCTCGTGGCTCTCAGCATCCCTGTCTGCTCTGCGTTCTGCTCACACGGAAGAGGCTGGCTGCAGAGTGCCACCACTATCTGCTGGAGTGCCCAGAGGATGGGAGCTGCTGTCATCCCAACCCCAGTGCTCACCTCTTTCCCAGTCAGGATGTGCCGGGCCAACTTCACCTTGGCAAAGTTACCCTTGCCAATGGTCTTAAGGAGCCGGTAGTTGCCAATATGGGGCTGCTCGTCAGCAGAAGTGGCTGAGTTGCGGCCCCGCAGCATGTTGGACTTACTGCTGGGCTTGGAATCAAGGTGTCCCAAGGTGGGCTGCAGGATGGAAACAGAGACCCTTACATGCTGCCCTTCCTTCCAGTCCCCTCAGCCCCCGCCCTCAGCTCTCTGCAAATACTGTTGAGAGGGTAGAGATGTAGAGGCCGTCTCCATGAAGCTGGTAAGCATGCAAGCAAGTGTACAGTAGGTAGAACAAAAAGGAACAGGGAGGACACGGCCGTCTTTACTGCAATGGAGCACAGATCAAATCCAGTGTCAAGAACTCAGGGGCACCAGAGCTCAGGACCAGAGCCAGTCCATCCCTGGGGCACAGGGCTCCTCTGCCTTCGCTGGGAGATCCAATCTCCTACATCCACGTGTTTACACTGCGAGGGCTGCAGGAGCAGCACAGTCAGAACCTCACTGCCACACAATCCACTGCATTCATCTGCACTATTTACCACTATGAACCTGCTGTGACTCCCAGTGAGGGCGAAAGCCCATGGAGGCCAGTATGTGTCCTTTATTCACTTACTCATTTCTGCATCTAGAGTCTGAACTATGGTCAGTGTTCAAAGAATCCTTGTACAACAAATGAACTAAATGACCGGGTCTGAGGTGAGGGAGCAGTCTATCCTGCTCTGCTCTCCTTACACACACAAGGCTGGGAGGACCCAGGAGTTACAACTGGCTCTGAACAGGCATATTAACAGAATTCAAAAAGCACGTGTTCAGATGAAAACATGGCTACAAGACTTGCACGTTCCTCAAAGTGCTAAGCATAGGGACCATGTGACCCAGCAATTCCATTCCTAGATCTATTCCCAAGAGGAATGAGGACCCATGTCTTTACAAAGTTGTGTCCACTAATGTTCATGGCAGCATAATCCATAATAGCCAAAAAAAAATAAAAATAAATGTCCACCAACTAACAAGGAGGCACACCCATATAATAGAATATTAGTTGGCTATAGAGAGAAATAAAGCCAGGTATGGTGGTACAGGTCTATAAGCCTATTTAGGAGGTAGAGACAGCAGAGTCTCAAATTCAAGGTCAATTTATAGTTAGGTATAGTGCTAGCCTAATGTTCATGAGGTCCTGGGTTCAAGACCTGGGTTCAAGACCTGATACATGCAGCTGGGCGCTGGTGGCTCACACCTGTAATCCTAGCTATTCAGGAGACTGAGATGTGAAGATCACATTTCAAAGCCAACCTGGACAGGAAAAATCTGTGAGACTCTTATCGCCAATGAACTACCAGAAACCCAGAAGCGGTGCTGTGACTCAAGTGGTACAACACTTGCTTTGTGCTTCAGAGCTCATGGACAGTACCCAGGCCCAAGCCCCATGACCGAAGGGGCAAGGGATGGGGTTGGGGGTGGGTGGGTGGGGTGGAGAACTGACACATGCTACAACATGGGACAATTCTGAAGACATTAAGTGAATAGAGTTGGTCACAAAGGAGCATGTGTTGTATGATTCACTTGTTTAAATGTCTAGAAAGACGTATCTGTAGACAGAATATAGGTTAGTGACTATCTCAGGCTGAGGAGGGGACTTGTAGGAGAATCTTTTTTTGGGGTCCAGTTGTGGGGCCTGAACTCTGGGCCTGGGTGCTGTCCCTCAGCTCTTCAGCTCAAGGCTAGTGCTCTACCTCTTGAGCCACAACGTCACTTCTGGCTTTTTTTTTTCTGCTTATGTGGTGCTGAGGAATCGAACCCAGGGCCTCATGTATGCAAGGCAAGCACTCTACCACTGAGCCACCTTTCTAGCCCTTGTAGGAGAATCTTTAAGTAGCTGGGTGCTGGTGGCTCACGCCTATAATCCTAGCTACTCAGGAGGCTGAGATCTAAGGATCACAGTTTGAAGCTAGCCCAGGCAGGAAAGTCTGTGAAACTCAGAAAAGCTGAAAGTATCACTGTGGCTCAAGTGGTAGCCTTAAGCAGAGAGAGGGACAGAACCTAAGCCCTGAGTTCAAGCCCCAGGACCGGCAAAAAAAAAAAAGGATCTGTACAAAAAAATTTCAACTCAACAAATGTGATTTCTTCTCAGAGTAATGAAAATTTTCTGAATCAATAGGGTGAAAGATACACAACTCTAATAAAAGTCAGCAGAACTTCAAAGATGGAGTTGTCTAACTGCCATTTCAAACCCACTGCTGCAGCACACTAAGACTAAGCTGGTGCCAACGCCCCATCCCAGAATCATCTAAAGCTGCCCTGGAAACTTTGAGGGAGACAGTTTGAACAGCAGAGCAACCAGAGGCATGTGAGTCAGGATTCTTCCTTTCAAGGCCCCTCCTGACTCCAAGGGAAGACCTCAAAACCACAGACAAAAAAGCATGACTTGCTACAACCCAAGGAACTGTCCAGGGTCCCTTGGCGAGCGTCTGTGGGTTCCACATATGCTCCTTAAACAGAAACAAGTAGGCTGATTCTGATTTTCTCTTCCCTGATGTGTCCACAGAGGGCTTCTGCATAGTTACTATAGTTTTCAAAAAGTCCCTTGGAGGCAAAAGACCCTATAGATGCCAGATTAGTTTCTCCACTATAAGTTCCCACTGTCCCTCATCCTCAACCTCCCCCCCCCCCGCCTCCCCAACCCGACTCTCTGCTCACATCAGCTGCAGAGTTCTCTGGCCCTTTTTCTCCCCACATCCTGCGGCTCACCTAACCTTGGCCAGTCCTCACCCAGCGTTTGTTAGACACTTAGATTTTCAAATGCCTGCTCTTCTCGAGGGAACTCAAGGGCTCACAACTCTTGGCATCTCAGGTGGACTGGCTTCCTGAAGGCTCTCTAAGCCTATCCACAGGTCCTAAAGGCCTGGCCTCTACCTCTTCTTAGCACCATCCTCCTTCCTGACAAGCTGACACTCTCCCAAGAGCCTTGGACAAGAGAGTCCTTCCCTCTGCTCTGACTCTCATGAAAGATAGCCAGGGAAGTTTTCATAGCAATCCCTTCCTCCTTTCTTTTCTTTTGGTGGTACTGGGGGTTTGAACTCAGGGAGCTGAGCTTGCTAGACAGGCACTCTACCACTGAGTTATACCCTAATCCCTTTCTTTGGTAGCTGATGAGTCTGCTAATATTCTTGACAGAGTCCTTTTCTGAGGGTACAATCCAAAGGTGGCTGGAGCTTGGCGAAGTCCAAATCCTGAAAACCTGGAACAGGGATTTAGCATCTACCTGGGAGTTTGGGCCCTTTGCCTCTCTGAAGCTCAATCTGAGAGTGCCATAGCCCATCCCTCTTGCTGCGTCTGGCCATCCAGGGGTTGATCCAATGAGATACAGCAGGATGCTATTTCCTGCCAGTGACTGCATGCTGGACTTCAAGGAGCATCAAGCAGCATCACGGAGTTGGGAAGGTGAGGGGAAAGGGATGGTAGGGAAAAAACAAAGAAGGGGGTAACAATGTTTGATAGGAAATGGACTCATTACCTTGCTCATGTTATTGTAACCCCTCTATTCAGTATCTTTACAATAAAAAAAAAGAATTAGAAGACTGAACCTGTCCCCCTAATGCCACAAAAGCCATCTTGGAGAAAAATCAGGGAAATCCAAGATAAAAAAATATAAGAAGAAAAAAAAAGGAGCATCAAGCAGCCGTAAGTGGGACTTAACAATCACCCTCTTCCTTATTAGGATTAGACGTGTAGACACCAGAGACAAACTGCCAGAGCTCAAATCCTGCCACTTAGCTCATATTAATGCTATTATTATCAATATCTTCCTTCAGATGGAAGTGGGGTGGGGGAATAACCACCCTATAGATGACTTGTGTGGAGTGTTCAAGAAGGTTCCTGGTTCACAGAAAGAGACTTATGACTTGGCTCCCAACTACTAGCTTTAGGTTCCTCATATGTAAAGTGACTACTTCTCATAGGTATAGGAGAGAATACAAAGAAAATGCTTTATCCAACATTCAATAAAGAGTAATCAAGCCAGATACCAATGGTTCATGCCTGTAATCCTAGCTGAATCTGAGAATCAAGGCTAGAAGTCAGCCCTGGCAGGAAAGTTTGTGAGACTTCTATTTTATTTTGTTTTTGGTCACTCATGGGGCTTGAACTCAGGACCTGGGTGCTGTCCCTGTGCTCTTTTGCTCAAGGCTAGCACTCTACCACTTGAGAGGCACTCGAGTATCTTGGCCACTGTTCTGGTTAACTGGAGATAACAGTCTCATGGTCTTTCCTGCCCAGGCTGGCTTCAAATACAATCCTCAGATCTCAGCCCCCCTGTAATCCTACCCTAAGTAGGTAGGATTACAGCCCTGAGCCACCATTGCCTGGCCTGTGAGACTCTTATCTCCAATTAACCACAGAAAAGCCTAAAGTGGAGCTATGGCTCAAGTGGCTAGCACTAAAATGCTAGCCCTGAGCAAAAAAAGCTCAGGAACAGCACACAGTCCCAGAGTTCAACACCTAGTATCAGCAGAGAGAGATGGGCAATAATTACGTCTTTAAATGCTACAGTCCATTAAACTAGAAAGTCCGGTAGTCAACAAGCTCCTGCATCTTAGCTGAGCCAACTGCAGGGATAAGGGTTCAGGCTAAGCCTCCTACTGGCTCCTGCCAGGCCTCAGCCTCTACGATCTTTGCAAGGGGGAAGGGGACTCAGCCTGAGTGCCCAGCAGAGAGAGAGGAGGTGTTGTTTGTTCAGGGCCCTGGAAAGCAGCGAGCCCTGGCTTCTGCTCTTTGATTACCTGTTCCAGAGCCACCAACTCCCTTTTCAGGACTGTGCTATCCAACTCCTCAGACTCAAAATACAGTCTTTCTCTTACTCCCAGGTCTCATGTTTTCCACAGGACGGATGTAGGGCAGGGTTTGGAAGTCCACTGGGAAGAACAGACAAAGAAGGAAGTACAGAAAGGGAGAGACTCCCACAGACAATGCCTCTTAGCCAAGGTCCCAGGGGAGGCCACTCTTAAGGTCCCCCTTGCTGCTCTGAAGGATGAAGAGGTAAGACTACAGGGTGGCTGTTACAGGGACAGTGTTTCTCTTCTATGGTGCACACCACATCCATTCATGTTGGCCCCAGACTCAACCAATAGGCTGGTAGG